CCACTCTTTCAGTTACGATTTTATTTGGTGTTACTTGCAACACTTTTTTTGAGCAAAATATTCAGCTTGTAATAAGATATTCAAGTTGACTGTGTCCTTTAGCATGACCCTTGTCAAATTTATTATCTTCCTTTCATCTCTAATCACTTCGCACAACAGGCCCATATGTGCAGCAGAGAGGGATAGGAAAATGAAGTGAGCATTGACTTGAGAGGCTGAGACAAACAGTAATAATTTGGGGAAATCAAGGTGGGAGCAGGTAGGAAATTTGATGCAAACTTGGAGCCCAAGTCTCCCAACAGTTCTATCATGATCATGTCAGCAGAAGGAACCTTCCGAAAGGCAAGCAGCATGTCAGTGCCACAATCAGTCAAACTTTACATGGTAAACATTCTAGATTTCTCCTGCGGTGTTCCAGAAATGATTGCTCCCGCTGTATCTGTCCTGATGAAGTTAACGGAGTTGTGCCCATGTAAGTGATGAGCAAACTGTGCTCTAATAGATCTGAACACGTATGAGGAAGTGTGTAAACCTGTGGTGTGAAATATGAGTATCTAATTTGAATTTAATCGCCCCTGTGTGATTTCCATTCTTGATACTTTCCAGTGTCACAATGCTTCTAGCCCTTCACTATCAAAGGTAAAATATACTGGATTTATATTAAATATATATTACATTTCCCCCGATAATTGTTACAGAAGGCTAAAACTACTGCAAAGTGGGGCATTCACATGTTGCAAAACATTGTGCCCAACATATTAAAGGCCATATTCCATCCTCACACTTTTCAACAACTTCTATTGACTTCAGATCAATGGCAGTATTTGGCTTTAAGTGGAGAATACACCACATTTTCCACTGGAAGCTAGGGCTTTTAATCGGTATTAATCTTCTCCAGGGAATCCAACAGGAAAAGGGAAAGATTAATCTCTGTTTGGAGACATTTGTAATAACCATTGAACTTTTCACGTATTGTTTTGCTGTTTTTTCTGTTTTCTGCAGTGCAAAATCAAGGCAGGTGAAGCAAGTCGACTACTGTTTCACATAGTTATTTTCAAAGCTAGACCTCTGCTTCTGCCCAAATGATCTGGTTTCCATGGAAAGCATTGCAGTGTAAATGCAAAGAATAACTATAAAACATTCTAAATACATTGATTAAAAATACAGTGGAGGCAGTTTAGGAAGATAGGGTGAGAATATGATCTTAATTTTTACAATAATAAAAGAGAAGTACAGTAAAACAAACAAATAAACAAAAAAGCCCTTATCTTCCCTTGGAAAACTCTCCTCCTTTCAGTTGGTTCATCTTCAAATATGGCAAAGGTATATTCAGTAGTTAGTAATGTTTACTTTACTATTAGAATTAAAGATGACTGTACACACTATAAAATATTTTTGGAATCACATACACAAAATAAATTATTTACATGGCATTTGTATGAATTAGATTAGTAGACAGTTGTGTGTTTGGAAAAAGTAATCATGAAGACATCAGGGACAAACGTGTCTTTGGGCTCTTAAATAAATATCTGATCTTGCCATTAGAACATGACCAGACTTTGAAGAAAACTTTATCAACTGCACATAATTCCGAACTTATACAAAGCCTGGCAATCAAGATGTCATAAAATGACTTTAAGGCATTTAAATCTCATTCCTTCTGGGGCAAGGTTTTATCACAGAATAGTAAACCATCCCAAATAAAAAAGAAAGATTCTAAACCATTGAGTGGTATGGAGAAAGTGAATAAGGAAAAGTTATTTACTTGTTCTCATAATATAAGAACTAGGGGCCACCAAATTAAATTAATGGGCAACAGGTTTAAAACAAATAAAAGGAAGTTCTTCTTCACACAGTGCAGTCAACCTGTGGAACTCCTTGTCTGAGGAGGTTGTGAAGGCTAGGACTGTAACAGGGTTTAAAAGAGAACTAGATAAATTCATGGAGGTTAAGTCCATAAATGGCTATTAGCCAGAATGAGTAAGGGATGGTGTCCCTAGCCTCTGTTTGTCAGAGAGTGGAGATGGATGGCAGGAGAGCGATCACTTGATCATTACCTGTTAGGTTCACACCCTCTGGGACACCTGGCATTGGTCACTGTCGGTAGATAGGATACTGGGCTGAATAGACCCTTGGTCTGACCCAGTATGGCCATTCTTATGTTCTTAAATACACATGCCACTGATTGCTCAGCATGGATGGCTGAATGCCACAAAGGCAAGAAGATAGGCTAATTCATTGCCATCTGTTGCACTAGAGAAGTGGAAGGAGTTGCAATGTCACAAGAAAATGAGACTGATCTTTCTTATATCCTTTGCCCAGATAATTCTAGGAAGTCATGGGTCATGCCGCAGCCAAAGAACAAGTGGAATTTCAATTCCAGTGCTCCATTAAGTAAAAGCGCATATAGGCCAAATCATTAGATGGAGGGCTATTGAAATTGCAGAGCCCAATTACTGGTGTATACTTTTGATTCCAATGCTTAATCAAATTGGAAAATTCTGCCTATTTGATGACCTGAATCTCAATGAAAGATCAGGCTAGAGAGAGAAATGTGTCCTATCCCACACTGGATAACATTTTCCCAAGTAGCTGCCCAAGTATTTACTCTTTTAGATGCCACAGGTGTTTTGGGGCAAATTCCACTACAGCCAAAGAGTGTCAGGTTAACCACAATTTTCACTCCATTTATACAGTAGTCTCACCACAGACCTCTTTCTGGCATTACTAGTGCATCTGAGATCTTTCACAGGAAAATGGCAGAACTACTGAAGCACCTGGAAAGGCTAGACATTTATACAGATAAACTAATACTTTGTGTACATGGCTGTACTGAAGAGGAACCTGATTTAAAAAACCTGTGTAGTGTCTTTTGAAAACATGATGTTGTACAAAGTGAAAGAGCTTGTTGGGCCGGAAACAACTAGATATTTTTGGGACCTCATATAATGAATAATGTAAAGTCCCAGATGCTGAGAAAGTAAGAAACCATTAAGTATTTGCAACCTCCTCAATCCATTCCGAAACGGAAAGAAATCCTAAGTACGATTCACTATCTAGGTAGATGTGTGGTCAACCTGTCAGAAAATGATACCCTCTGAGTTAAGTGAAAAGTGAAAGCACCTAGCGTTGGTGCAGAACATAAGAGCAGTCATTCAATAGAGTGAAACAACTTCTGTCTAAGTCATAAGTGTTTATCTTCTTTGATGTAAGTAAGTCAACCATTCTCAGAGCCGATGCCTGTGACTCTGGATTAAGGTACGTTTTATTGCAAGGGCATGATGGTCAACTGAATTCTGGTGCATATGGTTCCAGGACAATGACTGATGCTGAGACTTGTTATGTTCAGATTGACATTCTTTCACTGCAGTAAAAGCATCTGGAAATTCACAAAATACTGGAGGACTAGATCCTCTTAAACTACTGACTGACCACAGACTGCTCAGGCCACTGACAAATAACTATGAGCTGAATCATGTTTGAACTAGTCATTTTTTGAATGTGGCTGAAAGAATAATGAAGAATTCTCCCATAGAGATCTCAGAAATCGTACATGACCTATTTTCAGATTACAAAATCTGAATATCTCAGAGTCCTATGGTGAGGACACTCACCTGAGAAGTGACAGATCCTAATTCAAAACTCTTCTTTCCCCTCAAGCAGAGGTGGGACTTGAACTGGGGGTCTTCCCACATACCAGGTGAGCACTCTAACCCATGGGCTGAAAGTTATGAGGAAAGTCCTCTCCCACTCTAAACTGTTTTGTTTTACTTTACTTCTTTTATTTGAACATAGATGCTGAGTGAGCTCAGCTTCCTACAGGGTCCGGGGGGTTGGGGGTTGTGCATGGCAGTGGTCCCAAAACTGGAACTTTGATGCCTAAAATAGGAATTTAGGTGCCTAACCCCTTTTGTGTACCTAAGCCTATAGACTTAACTAGTGAAGGCGTATTGTTCTTTTCTAGACATTCTTATTGTTATGGTTTGTATGAATGAATTTCTGGAAGGTCTTTGCTCATTCAGATATAGAATTAAATATTCTGTAAATAAAGAAGGAAATGTAAATATTGGGCAGCCAAATTAATAATTATTAATTATTATTGTAGTGGTAAAAGAAGGCTTAAGTCCTTTCAGCTGTATGGATCATGTGATGCATTACTGCATTCCCTGGCCTTTAGAAATAATATGGTTGAAATCACGTTCTGACAAAAGCTTTGCTTGGTTGCATTGTGCTTAATTCATTTTTGAAATATCATAGTATACACTGTTTATTTTTAAAAAAATAATACATCATTGAACAAGAAAGATCTTCCTTTTTGTTGTGAAACTTCTCGCATTCTGAAAGGTTATTTGTAAAATAAACCACTACAGAGACTCTTTCACACTAAACTAATGTCATATATGATCAGGCTTCATTTAGTATAAACATCTGCATCACTGAAAGATCTGTTTGTTCTAGAGCTAATCAATTTTTTTTTCCTCTGTGGAAAATCTCAACTTTTTTGTTTTAACTCACAAACATTTTTTGGCCAGAAACCTGCTGAAACCTGAAAAATGTTTGGCCAAATAATACCATTTCTTAGTTTTCAGGCAAAATATTTCAATCTTGTTTTTTCAATTAAAAATCATTTTAAAAATCTAGGAAAGCAGATATTTACCACAAAAAAACCCAATTTTCATTTAAAATTTTTCAACAGAAAGTTTTTGACCAGCCCTAATTTGTCCTTTCCCAACAACTTCCTCTGAACTATATCTCTGTAGAAATATATAACCGGGTATGTGAATGAATTAATAAAGTCATCTTTTTCAATAAGCATATTGTTGCCAGGACTATTGGCTCTTCTTGTCTATGCCATAAAACTCTCCTCTGCTGAATCATATCAATAAAGTAACTGGAACAGAGCCCCCCAAGAATTTTAACATTCTCAAATTGTCAAAAATCATAAATATATTTTTCCAACATCTCTTTAAGAAAGATAACACTTTTTTAAAAATTTACAGATGGCTATCCTAAAGAAGAAATGATTTACAGATGGAGGAAAAACTCAGTAGAGGCCGCAGACCAGAAATCTTGGAGACTCTATCAGTTTGACTTCATGGGTCTCAGAAATACTTCAGAAATTGTGAAAACCTCTGCAGGTAGGAATTGAATGAATGCTCAGTTCTCAAGGTTAAGAAGTTCAATATATAGTTTTCTACACTCTGTGTATGACATGATCTCATCTGTGCTTTGAATCTGACAGGTTTCAGCAGTTAATCTACTACACTGCAATCTATTGTACATGTTTGACTTTAATTGTGTTTGTTTTTACCAGTCAGGTTATTCTCATGGTAAACTAAGGGCTAATGCTTTCCACAAATATTAATTTCAGTGGGAACTTCAGATGTTCAGGACTCTAACTCTGTAGGTGTCTAACTTTAGGGACCCTACTTTGAAAATGTTGCCCTTAAACTGCTAGAAAGTATTGATTTTTAAAATGATCACCTTTTTCAATTACAGTTGATATTTATGAACTCAGAATAAAATGATGAAGAATATACTATGTGCAGTGAGGAATAGACTGGGCATTTTTTGAAAGTTTGTTTTCATTTAAGTACACTTTGAATTCAGGGAATTACAGTGTTTACAAGTGTTCATTTGAAAAGTGCCAAAATCCAGACTTCAATCTAATTGACTGTTTGGATTTCTAACAAAACCCTTCTCTCTTCCTCTCCTCTCTTCATAGTATTACCAACCTAGGAATAATATTAACTTGCAGCTGCTGTTTACACTACATTTTAAGTTGCCACAATATGCTCATTCTGCAATTAGGTGTTATTAAATTATCCCTGCATTGAGACATATGTTTTGATCATTGATTTTTTTTTAAATAGCAAGCGTCAAGAACATTGACTGTTTATTATCGTAGCCCAGAGCATAGCAGTAGAGCTAATAAAATTAAACGTTTTCATGACAAGTTAATCTTTCATCTACTGTTTGAGTATTTTTCTTAATGTTTCAAAGGCATGGTACACCTCCAGCTGATGAATGCCTTTTTCCATTGACCTTATCAATTGATTTTAATTAAAACTTAATGGCCATTTTATTTCCACAGGAACCTTTTTCTGTCTAATAATAATGATAATTAATAATAAATGAACTATGCATTAAATGGTGTAGATTGCTAAAATTGTAAAGTTAAACGTAACACAATATAAACAATAGACGCAGCACTTGGTAGATTAAAAAACTCATAAAAGTCAATCACCATCCAAAGGTTATAGATGACACTGAAGTAAGCTACACATCAATACATGTGGCAAGTGGTGTTAGTAGCAGTCTGCTGCTTTAATATTAACCAATTATGAATTTTTAAAAAGCAGAATTTAAGTGCATCTATATTATTTATTGGGGAACACTGTGGATAAAGAGTAAAACACACTGATCTGTGGGCTTAATGTGGAAAATTTATGGCCCATCCTCTTGCATCAATAATGCATTCTCATGGCTGACAGACAGTTTTGTCACTGAAATGCAATTAACGTATTAGTAAGTCTTTTGGGTATATGGCCTGGCTAAGGAGAGTGTTAACAAATGGAGCAAATGTAAAAGTTTGTTCTGCTTCTGAATAATGAATATGGATGTGTAAGTTCTTCAGGCAAGTTAACTGTGATCTGGATGTTGGTTGATCAAGGTCAAGCCCAGGATACATTTTGGTTCCAATATCTGTGACAGGAGGCATGAAACTAATTAGGAGAGATGGTGAGAAAGCTAGAGATAGTGTGAGTGACCTGCCACTTCTACTCTGTGCTCACCAGGAGTCATGCCAGCTTGACAGGTTTCATCAAGAAATCTCGTTAAATGCCCAGAACAGCCCCATCTGAAATATGAAGCTGCTGGCGGTATCCGAATAAATACACGTACCCGCTCTATTTAAACAAGACAGAAGCCAGCTTCACATAGTCATTTAAGATCACAAATAATAAATGAGGTAACCGGGCAAATTCCTTTTTTATACTCCTCTTCATAGACTCCAAGTTATAATTTAAAGAAGCGGCTGAGCTGGCGTTATTTTTTACCCCCATTACCCTTGCTACTTCTCAGTCATGCTTCTGAGCAAAACTCAACCTCTGGAGTAAATTTCTTTTCTGCCATTAGATATGTACTGTAGGCCAATTTTTCATGCACTAGCATTGTCATAGGATATACTGATCTAACATTTGGATGTTCAGATGGGCACTTAAAATGAGCACTGATGCACTAAATACTGATTTGAGCTTCCAAATGTGGGATTTGCATACCATAGTGAGGTACCAACATTTGAAAATTGTGCTGATCAAAGCTGTCTATCCAGATTCTGATATGGTCTTCGTGGGCATGATAGCTTAAAACCTGGTGTTTATGTCAAATTTTTAAAATGTCAATCTGAAGTAGAGGGAGTTCCTTATAAAACACTGAGGGGTGCCTGGAAGAGAGGTTTTCTCCATTCAGATATTCATTGAGTGGATCAGTATTACTGGCTTTTCAGTACAGTATTTGAAAATAAGAATATAAGAATGGTCCATCTAGCTCAATATCCTGTCTTCCAACAGCGGCCAATGCCAGGTGCTTCAAATGGAATGAACAGAACAGGGCAATTATCAAGTGATCCATCCCCCATTGTCCAGTCCCAGCATCTGGCAGTCAGGGGCTAGGGGCACCCAGAGCATGGGGTTGCATCCCTGACCATCTTGGCTAATAGCCATTGATGGACCTATCCTCCATGAACTTACCTAATTCTTTTCTGAACACAGTTATAGTTTTGGCCTTCACAGCATCCCTTAGCAATGAGTTATTTGGGTTATCGGGTGATTTGTATCACTAGATGATGCAACCTTTCAGTATGATGTATTCCACAAATTAGTCAAAATTTCCTACAAATTCCCAAAGGCCCTAATGTTCTGCAAGATATTGTTGTCATCAAAATTAAACAAATCACCATTTAGGCTGTAGATGGGCCCAAAGGAAAAAAATATAATCATTACCAACTAAATAATAAAATATAAAACAAATTACTAAATTAAGATACAGAAAAGTTACAATATGCTAGAGATTTGGGGCAATCATATCAGGGAAGAAGGAGATGATAGTTCCTCAGCTGTAAGCTCTTTGGGGCAGGGACCATCTTTTTGTTTTGTGTTTGTACAGCACCTAGCATAATGGGGCCCTGGCCCATGACTTGGGCTTCTAGGTGCTATAGTAAATATACAGAAACAATAATAATAATGACTTTGGGCATCATGATAGCAGAAACTATTGCCAAACCGCTGGGTTTTTTTTTTTAAAGAGCACCAAAAATTGCAAGGGGGCTTTAGAAATGAATTTACAAGTAACAAAATGAAATGTATATAGGCCAGTGATTCAGCTGGTGTCATTAGGCAGAGAGACCAGCTGAATATCTCACTCATGAATTTTGGCTCATAGATGGATGAGGAGGGGAGGTGCTGGGAATCTACAGATATATGAAGCATGTGAAAACCAAATCTCTGAACTTGCCTGAGGTGAACTCTCTCTGTGCAGGTCCAATGAAGTCTGCTGGACACTGTAAGGGTCCCACCAGCCCTGATCTTTTTGCAAGATCAGGACCCATGGAAAGAACAGAATTATGGAGGGTGATACACAGAGTACAATTAAGAACAATGGGATGAAATTCAGATAAGAAAAGCAGTCTGAATATCAGGAAAAAATTATATTCTGTTCCTCCCCAGGAAAACTGTGAAAACCTCCCACGCATGGGACATTTAAAACTAAATTAGACAAAGTATTAGAAAATATACTGTAGGAAACAGTCCTGCATTCCCAAGAGATGAACTCACTAGCCTAATGTCTTTTTCACTTCTAATGTTTGTTTCTGACATTTTATGATACAGTTACTTCCTTCCAGAATTGTGTGTGTAATGTGAGACCTTTGTCAGTATCACCGGTATACCTCTCTGTGTCTCTCTATATTCTCTTCTGCAAACTTGCAGCATGAGTGCTGATAGTCTGTACAGGAACATATTGCCATGGTGGCCAATATGTGTATAACCCGTTCCCTGTAATATAATTTAGCCCATCAAGTAACCACTTCATGAGCTTAGCAGAGCCCAGAGACAACATTCCATTAAACCTTTCTCTTTTAGAGAGTTACATACATTTTGTGTAATTGTAGACATGGTCAGGGTTTTACAAGTAACAAGATGGTTGCTACAAGGACTTCACAATTCCTAGAATCTAAACAAGATAACAACAACAACAAATCAATGCCCAAAATCATCAAAGGCTTAAAGCACAGCCCCGGTGGTGTGCACTCAGGGGGAAGAGTAATCTGGGGTTTAATGACCTCTGCGGGCCAAAGAAGATTTGTATCTCTATAAATAGAGGTGGTCCTCGGCTTTTTGCCTGCCAAGTGAAAAACGTTTTCAGTACCTCCCACCCCTGCACCAGCTGAGCAAAAAAAACACCAAACATGAACCCTGGACAATCAACAGAGCCAAAAAAGGGCAGCCAATTAGAAGGGAGCAAAAAAACAACAACCCCAAAACCATGAAAAGTACGGTACTCTCTGGAAGTTGGCATGTAGGGCAAGCACTCTGCCCAGCCACCTCTAGAACCGGCCGTGAGTATAAGACCATCAGGAGAGAGATTAGGCTAGTTAAAAACAGCAGGAATACTATTTAGCCCTCTAGGACTGGGCTGTGGGAAAGGGAGACTACACATGAGAAAAAAATCTTCTGTACTTTCATATCAGGGTAACCTTGTTGCAGTGCGGTTTGTGTAATCCTTAAACCCAGGCTCAGTGTGCTGGCTGTGAATTGTTCACTTAAGTGTTATCTTTTAGAGTATCATCATTTAAAAGCACAGTGGGGCAAAAGGAAAGCAGAGGTCTGAAGAGGAAGAGGAAGCTGTGGGGGAGCTGTTGCTGAGGGATCCTGGTTGCCGCTGTAGTGTTGTTCTTCATTGCTCCCTGGTCTACTCTCCTTCACTTCAAGGTCTACATCCTTTTTCTCCACTCAGGGTTTTATGACATGAATTCAACCCAAATAGAGAGAGCGATTGGCTCCTTGACACCACATAAATCATATCTGCACTCACTTAAGGCCCTTTTAATCTGCCAAACTTGTGCGGCGTAAATGAGAAC